GAGTCATCAGCTCGTTTTCGATTGTCCCTTGAAGAATGGGATCCAACGTGTTAAGTTATAGTTTGCACTTGTGCCGAGTCGTCAAGTTGCATGTTGTATTAAGTTGTGACTGAGATCTTTGTTTATTTTTCTTTTTCAGAAATCTGTTCTGCGATTACTACAATTCTCAACAGAAGATCTACTGTAAAAGACTCAGAGTCTTATGTCCTGAACACACCAAGGAGCCTAAGGTATAATGACTCTTTTTCTCTATAATAAGGTTTGTGTTGGAGAATTTAGATATAACTGGTTAGCATTTGACGTCATCCAACGTCAAACCTAGGTCTTTTCCTGTATTCCTTTGTTTTAGTTTCAAAGGCCTTGGATCGAGTTCGGACGTCATCAAAATTGTAAATTCTGAATAGCTCACACCATAGAGCTGTTTCTTCACGAGTTCTTAATATTACTATTACTATTGCTCACCAATGTTTATCATGTCTGGAATGATCCCGAAGGTGCAATATACGAGCAACTGTCAGTACAGTTTTGCTGAGAATTTTCTTCAAACCGAACAAAACTTGTAGGCTTAAAAAGGGTTGTTAAAAATAAAAAAATAGCATTATGGCAGAAAGTTTATGTTTACTTCTCTGGTTTTTTTTTCAGATTTCTGCAAGTGACGTGTGTGGATGTCCTCTGGTCACTAACGTCTTCGAGGAAACTGGAGATTTCTGTCGAGCTTCGAAAAGAAGGTGTTTAAAACATTACAGCTGGGAAAAACTTCGCAGAGCAGAGATTGATCTACAAAGAATACAACAGGTAGAGATGTGCTCTAGATGTGGCGGTGGCCTAATTGTTAGTGCGCTCCGTATCAAGCAGTCCTGGTTCGAGCCCTGTTCGGGGCCACTGTGTTATGTTCTTGGGTGACACCGTTTACTTTCACAGTACCTCTCTCTAAGTAGGTGTCTGAATCGGTGCCAAAGAACTACTGTGGCAACCTGCCAGACTTGCGCCGATGGACTAGCACTCCATCCGGGCGAGTAGCGGTACTCCTAGCCGCTTCACGCTACAGAAACGAGACATACGCAGCGAGAGTTATGAGTCGCGTGGACTTTTCGTTTTGTTTTGTTTGGTAGGGGAACTAGTGAGATTTGAAAGATATTTCCCTATTGTACATTACCCACTCCTCTCTACGTTTGAACTTCATTGATCATGGCTGTGTACGTGAATGAGTGTTTAATGGCGAATTACCGCTTGACCCCCATGAAGTCATGTGAAAAAGTATCAAACAACAACTTTATTATGACTCGCATGTTTACAATTTTACAGAAATGTATACACATAAAGTTAAAAAAAAAAAGCTTGACAATAGCAACAGCGCGAATCCGCAGGTAGCCTGGGCTAATCTTGGCGGGCCACATCTATATTTATATTAGACCATTAATACATAAATAAGATTGTTATGCAACTACTTATAGAAGGATTTACAAAGCAGAACCGGCAATTAACCTTTTTTGTCTGTATTGTATTTTAGTGGCTGAAGCTTGAAGAGGCATTTGAACAAGAAAGATCACTAAGATACTCTGCGGCCCAGAGAGGAGGAGTGTTGGGTCTTCTGCTACACGAGACGATCTCTCACGAATAACAAATTTTCCGGCGAAGTTACTAAACATTTTTCAGTACTTTGTACAAATAAAATAACTTATTAATAAAACCTTTGAACAATTTATAACTCATAGGCTTTGCTTTAATTAACATTTTTGTGCCTGGAAAACAGCCAAAATAGTCGGGGAAATTAGTGACGTTTTGGCAAATCTTCTTTGGAGCTCTCGTGCCGTTAAAGGATTTTCATTTCCGATCAAAATCTAGCACGGGCGCTCACGAGTGTTCCACAGATTGTCACGTGACCATAACGGAAAAATTGATCCTCTTAATTATCTCCCCGCCCCCGCCTAGTGAAAGTATCTAATGGAAGAAAAGGATAAAACAGTAACGAAGCCGCCGATCGATCTATATTTATGCAGCTGAAGATGCGGGTGTTTGTTTTACTCACTTAGCTTTGGTCTGATGGACAATAGCAAGGGAACAGTATCGAAAATATCTTTTATCATAATTCTTCGAGCTGATTGTTCAAAATAGATCACGTGACAGATACAGTCAAAACTGGATATATTAGATAATATCCCCCATGTCTTATTACTTAGGCCCCGCGCGTCCACACGTATCCGGATATTTTTGAATCCGCAACTTTTTCTTTCCGGATACGGCTTCCGTCCACACACATTCGGCGAATTCGGCGGCGAATTCGGCAGCGAATCTGGATATAATAGAATTTCCCCTCCAGAGTGAAAAACAAAAGAAAAAAAAAATCCGCAACGAATCCGATAACGTGTGAACGGTGAATCCGGATATTTTCGAATCCGATGACGTAGCAAAATCGTGTCCAGTCTCTTACCGAACATCGGATGCGTGTGAACAGGCGAATTCGATTTGAATACGCTACGTGTGCACGGGGAAATTTTTGAAAAACTGGAGACAAAAGTGATAATTTTATTCATTAGGGGAATCACGACAGAATCTTTTTCGGTAACAATTCTCGCACAAACCCGTTAAAATAAATACAGTAAATAAGCAACACTCGGTCACGACTTTGGTTCATAAGGTCGACATTTTGAGCGTTAGCCCCGGCTTCGTCGGAGCAAGCCACTCAACGCTCGTGACGGTGGTTAAGTTTTATTATCATCAGCAGAAACTCTTCCAGAGCAGCATCTTAGCGAACGAGTAAGACAGATATGAGTTACAGTTCAATGTTAATACATGCTCTTGAACATCAATAACAATAGAACTGGTCGAAAGCAAGTGTATCGTGTTGAAAATAGATACAAATTGTTCACCATAGATATGGGAGGTGTTGAATTTTGCAACATCGGACTAACCGTAGTAAAGAGCATCGTAATGTCTAAGGCGATGAGCCAAACAAATCAAACATGTGGCTAGCTAAGAAAATTCACTTCGGGACTCCACCAGATTTTGATAAATTTTTCTGGAAACTTTCTTCAATGGAGTTGGCTTTTAAAGCCTCAATTGTTTATATTTTACTCCTCACAAAATGCAATTTCTGACGATTGAGGGACAAATTAGTTAGAAATTATTATTCGGACGGCACGATGGAGAGGACTCCGGGGTGTCATGGGGCGTTCAGGGAATATTTAGGCATTTAATTTTTGTGGGAGATTTACGTCATTCTAGGTTAGTTATTGCTCGTGCCCTTTTTTGTTATAACAGTATCTATGTATAATTGTAAATCTTGCACGTTACTGATTTTGTACTCTTTCCTCGTGGGTCTCTTGCTGCTGCATTAGATGAGGAATACGTTTCCAAACATTTTTTCGGCCACATCTAAAGGATGGTTTTTTAGTGGTTTTTCGTATCTGACGCCGAGTGAGTAAAGGTTCTAATTGTTAGAACCAGTAGTCGTAATTTGCAAGGATGCAGATTATGTTGTAAGACGTAACACATCTACATCAGGTGACTGACTGACGCATCCTCAATAAACTATTCACATTTAATGTCCCTTGTTAATGTAGTCCGAGTTACTATTTTGTAAGAAAGGGCACGGTTCTGTTATATCGCTCGAGTGGGTATTACAATCACCTCTAACTTGGATAAATTTTCAACGTTTATTGGCCTTTAAAATTCATTTCTACGACAAATGAATGAATCTTCATTTTACACTATGAGATCAACTACAATAACGTGGAAAGATACAACTCTACTAAAAACATTTACAATCATGACCAGAAACGGTTGGAATCTTAAATGAGTTTTTACGATGGAATGCGTTTAATAAACAATTGCCCCCTTCCCCGCCCCCCTCCCACCTTGATATTTCAACGTTGAAGACTATCACTGGTAGACAAGTCAGGTATTTTTTTTATTCTACAACATTGGAAGAAGGCAGGTGGGTGGGCAGGAAGTAAAGCCGGATTTCATCCAGCCATAACTAAATTGATGATCAATGACATCAGTGAGAAATTAATGGGTAATCAATGAATAATCAACTGATTAGCCATTGATTATTGCCGATGATCAATCAGTAAAAAATAATAATTGAAGACCAAAAATTCGGAGTCATTGGTCACCCACCGATTACTCATGTGTTTTCATGCCGTGCAGCTATTACGAATTTCCGTTATTCTTCTTTATATATATATTTTTCTTCTGACTTTCCTGTTTTAAAACCTTGCGCTGATTGGTTCGCAACAACAATAACAAAGATGAATTGTGTTCAAAGTTAAAGCGGGGGAAAGTAACTGAATAAAAACGAACTCTCGTCTGTTACAATGTAACAGGAATCTATGAGGAAAGTAAAGCATATATCTATCATCATTTCAGACAATTTTAGACAAGCTTTTCCGCAGGACTAAAATTTTCCCTTGTAGACGGTTTCTTCTGTCTATGTTCTGTCTATGAATTTCGCCATAACATTGTCAAAGTAGCTGTGGATCCTCGAGGTGAAACTACTTTGATACTTTGACAATGTTATGACGAAATTCATTGTCAATAACACGACAGACGCATGAGAAACTGACGTCAGTTTGTTTTTACAATAACAAATTGTCAAATTGTCCGCTCTCGCTCGCTGACGCATCGCATTAATTTTATATTAATGGTCTGTCCACGTATAGGCTCTATATGGTATATAAAGAGACCAAGTACCCCTCCCAAGGGGTACTTGACTCACCCCGGCTTTCGAAATTGGCAACCGTGACACTGAAGGAAACCGTCAAGGTTTGGTTTAACAAGCGTCAGCGTGCTAATGAAGAAGTAAACGATTCTCTTACTTCAGATGTTGTTGTGTGTAAAATGAAGTCTGCACAGTGACATTTACCTAAAATCAGTTATTCCTATTTCTTTATACTGATCGATCGATTTAGTATGGGTTGTAAAGCCGAAAGATTACATCGATCACTAATCAATGACAACGATGACTGAAAATTGTGGCCTATCGATTTTCTATCGATTACTAATAACGATAATAAATGATAATTAGAGCGGTTTTCAATTAATTGTCGTAAAACCAAAACCAAACCAGTTACTTACCAATTAGACTACTCAGCAAATCTGAAACCGTAGTAAAACCAAAACCAAAACCAAAGTAAATGTCTAATTACTTTCGACACTCAATTGAAAACCGCTCTAATGATTAATCAACTGATTACTCATGGAATGGGATTACACGATTGATGTCATCGATTATTTACGTCTCGTTATATCTACAAAGGTCCCAACCATAATGCATTCTCAAACGTATCGGCCAGGATTGTAGCTGTTCAATCAGCAGGAGACAGAACAGCAAATACCAGAGGTAGTAATATGATGAATGAGGCGGCATTTGTAGTCGTGGGAAAATGGAGAACTACCCCTATGAGAGCAAACGGCAACGTAGAAGCATGTTCTACTCAGTACTTGGCATTTAAATCTAACGTTGTAGTAACCAACATTTCTCAAACAGCTTTCCAGCTTGTAGCGGTCATTAAATGAACACACGTGGAGGCTCTCAGTAAAGTGATTCCGCTTGGTTCGCGCCCGACCTGACGAAAAAAAAAAGAAACAAACAAAAAAAGTGTCAGTGTAAATCAGTTAACAGTAAAAAGACAATGCATAATCATTGACCTCTTTTCTCATTTGGAGACTTAACCTTGTGCCAATCAAAAAGAAAGGGTACCCAGTGTTTCTGTTAATCTTCAAATTAAATTTAGTTTAAAGGATGCAATAGTATTTTGTCCGATTTATTTTACCAAGTATAATTTAAAACGATTCAAAACGTTAACTGAATAAAGTCCTTATGTTGTAATTGAATAACTCGAGCTAGGGGAAGGATCCAACCCACTGCGAAAATCTTGAATTACATCTGGTGAAAGATCTATTGCTGTGTCAAGTGAGTCAAGTGGTTTGATGAAGTAGTATACTAATGCAAATGCTGCAATCATATTGCTGAGCCATGCCGCACGATTAGCCAGTAGTAACCACTCAGCCGTTTTCTGTTGGGAACCCGCGAATCTGATTGGTTCTTTTATCGCTTTCTTTTCAACAAATAGATTCCACGTTCCTGCGCGTAAGTTCAGTAACAGGTCACAGATGACGTCAAAATGTGATAAGAACAAAAATAGTGGCGCACGAGGTGATAGCCGAGTGTATCACTGATTTTATCTCACGTACAAATGCTGAAATCGAACAAAGTAACCGTTTTCTCTACAAATTGGCTACAAGTTTTAGGCAAAAAGCAATTACCTAGCCTTTAGTTGTTGTTGATCCTAAGTGGATATCCAATATGGCGGTGGCTGAGCGAATGGATATGTGTTTTATGATGCTAGAAAACATTTCTTTTTTCAAACTTGGCGTTGTCTTGACAATTTTCAATGTACTGATAGGACGATTTCTATTTGCTCCAATTTATTCCAATGTAAATCCAAACAAGTCCAAACATCAAATGTCTAACTTCGTTAGACTTTTGCAGTAAACGTGGATTTAAAGGTTTCTAATAACCATCAGTCGTAACAGCCACCACCCCACTGATATTCTCAGAAAACTCGGACTCGTTTTGCAGTGGCTTCAAGTGGTCAACAAAATGACAAAGTTTTCCCGTTTCTACGAATTCAGAAACAAATGGATAGTCAAATTTCCGAGAAGATTAATACAACGACACTAGCGGTTTCTTGAATTTAAAACTCGAAATTGTTGAAAAGAAACCGATGAGCACGAGTACAAATTTCAAATGACAATTCAGTTCGGCGATTTTTCTAAAGCGTAAAGGGCAGACGAGGAACAATTAACAAGCCATTAATTGAAGAAAAGTTTAGTTAGAATTCTACTAATTCGGCCTCGTTAAATTTTACCTCAGAAATTGTGAGCGAATAATCTAACTGGAATTTTTCAGACTTGAAGTACGGTTGTATTCATCGATACTTCTAATCTCCAGCTTTGTTGACAAAGATAAATAAATTTTGGCTAAAAGGGTCTTTTAATTCTCTCCTTCTTCAGAAAGGGAAAGTACGCCCTTCACTCCGCTACTCTCTCTCCGCCCCTGCTCCCATCCCAATCCCTCGAATACTTTAGACTGCTTCCTTGCTATTGGGGTAGGTTATAACAATATGGTTGTATTATTTTCTATGCATAAATTTGTTCTCAGTCCCAAACGCATTATCATATTTTAAGAAGAGAGAGGATCATCCTCTCTTGTTT